TGGTTTTCAAAAACAATAAGAGGAATATAAATGTAAGCTTAAAACATATTCTTCTTTTAAATCTTATGACAACTTGGCTGCAGCCGAGCTGTAGCAGATGTTTGCTTCGCTATATTAGGGCATAAATAAGAATTATATAAAATATAAGCAAAAATAAGCAAATAAAAGCAAGTACTAAAACCACAACTGTAATTTTACATACATAATAATAAAGTCCCAACAACAGTCCCCTTTCATACCACTATTGTTGTTTTTTATTTTTTAAGTTACACAAGCCGTCCATCACGAGCCAGATGTCTCTTGATTTAAGTTAAAACATTACAACATTACTCAGAATGTAAAGACAGAATAACAGCGAATAACAGCAGTACGAACATTAAAACGCTGCTGCTCGACTCGTCTGCTGCGTTGGCTGCAGCGCTCTGATTTAGTGAAAATTGTAAAACACATTGTTTTTTTCCTCTAAAGAAAAGACGGGTTGTTGTTACAGTTCCAGCGCTTTGCATTATGGGCCGCAGCACGCGAGGTAGACTGGTCCGATGCATACTGCAGATTTTTCCAGAATCGGTACGCCATCCGGGCATTTTTGGCATACCGCAGATTTTGCTTTTGTTTGCATACTTATTTATTTTATTTATTTCAGGTTTATTTAACAGGGACAATGCACACTAATAATACATAAATAAATGTATAGTGTGCCAGAATTAGCCAAAAGGCTGTTTTACATCTGCTGTCCCTGGACAGATCTTAATATGTCACACCTAAAAAACATAAAAAGATTAAAATAGTACATACAGGTTAACACAAGAATACAATTACCATGACTGTATAAAAAAAAAAATTACTAAACCAACATCTAAACAAGAACAATTGTTCGATATCAACCACAACGCCAACACACACTTGCACACACAAGCCAAACTGTCCACATAACAAACATTGTTTAATAGCAACGGCATTCATTTGGCTCGAGGGCGCCCTCTCTCAGACGTAGTAGGTAAATTCTACTAACGCGCCTGTAACGTTGTTAGTTCATGAGAGACGTGCCCGAGTGTATTATGCCTGTTAATATGAACTACACGAACACATGTGCACTGTAACTTATGGAAAGGTTGATAAGACGAGTTATGAGCGGGTTGTTGTACTTTTGAAGCGCTAAAGTGTTTAAGTAACGACAAAATGCATCTTCTAAACTAGCTAGCATCAGTGCTAAAACAACTAGCGTTCTTTTGTGGTGTGCTGTGTGTGAGCTGCCTAAAGCGAGCCAACTGTATGACTGACCAGTACATATTCTGTTCCTGTCCACATAATAAACGGCTGCGTTGAGAGATAAACGCCTCGTACTCATCATTTCAAATACACAACGCAGAGTCGATGGGTTGATTTAACCAGACAGCTACAGCGCAGCGTAGTTGAGCGCGGTTACACATGTAAATGCACCAATTGATCTCTGCAGTTGTTGTGTAAATCTTTGACTGTCTTCTTCCAAAGATTTTCCAATAAGTCCAGCCAGCATATTAAAGCATTTAACAATTCGCTTTGGCACATTGCTAAATATAAGTTCTATTTGTGTTCTTGTAGGATTTGTTTCTCTGCTAAGACCATTTATCAACTGTGTAAGATCACAATCGTCAGTGATCTGTTTTAATGTTTTCCTTGACGATTTGTCTTCCCACTTGATGTTGAAGCCTTCCATAATAATCACCACCTTATTAAAATTACATTGCTTTAGCATATTTTCAAAATGTTAATAAAAGATGTTCTTAGAAGATGGAGCGCGATAGTGTAATAAGTGAGAAGGACATAGATGGAGATAAAGTCCAATACACTCCAGTTCATTACATGACCAACGATCGGTAAAGCTGATGATGGTGAATTTTCGTTAAGCCTAATAAAAGCTGATGGATTTGATCACTTTTAGATTTAAAACTTCTTAAAAGAAAAAAAACTTCCTCCTAAAATACCCCTAGGCTTTAATTTGGGGTCCCAGATTATTCTTGAGTGATTGACAGTCTGGAATATGTTCAGTTTCTTGTTTTTAGCGATTGCAACATTTAGAAGTGCATGTTGTTTGATTTGGTAGTTATTGCAAGTTTTACGGCCTTCTTTTTTAAAGTGCACGCCCTTTGATCCGGTGATGACTTGGATGGATTTGTTGATAGTTTATAGAGGGAGTTTCTATATGATTAACTCCCTCTTAAACTGGTGTGTTTGCCATCTTTGTTTGTTGAGAACAGAGAATAGTTACATGTCGCATTTGGTGACTCAGCAATGCAACCGCTGGACACGGTCTCCGCTGAAATCTGCCCATCGCTGGCCTCGCCGCCGGTCCACCGGTGCAAAGGCGGCTCAATCGGCGCCCCCATGAGACAGGCCAAAGGAACACAGACGCCCACGGAGCAGAGATGGCGACCAAGGTTAGTTTGCTGGATCTGTTCAATCGATGATTTGTTACAAAAAGAGTGCGTACCTGTGAAACAGCAGTGTTGCGTTTTATGGCGGCGTTATTTGCTTCCCCTCGTGGGCCAGGACACGGATGAATATCTCCAGATAGTAGTAAACAGATTGTGATTAGCAAAGCATTGCTTCGTTGTATCTTGGCTGAAGGCTTGTGTTTCTTTGTAGGATGGTACAGCTGTGGATACATGAACGTTACTGCCAGCGCATGTTTCCCGTAGCCGAAGTTTGTCGCGGCTTGGGTTGTTTGTTTAATGTCCGCGCTGTTCGGAGAACATTTTCAACCGGTTTCACTGATATGTTAATATCAGTGGGCTTTAGTACATTTCAAATCAATCCATAAAACAAAAGCGCTACTGCCGCACCTGTCCTGCCAGTACCTGACACACATACCGCCATCTTGATCGACCAAGATGCATACTACATACTACATTTGGGCCAAATCAGTACGTACTACTAGTATAGGAGGTTTCCACCGACAGACCGACTCAGTGCTCACACAGCTCTGTTTCTTTTTTCATTGTTATATATCTGCCGTTATAAACGGCCGATGCCGATTAAATGCAATTAGCTCATATCGGCCAATATTATCAGGAAATGGGAAATACACTTCAGGACATTCTTGAGTGTCCTCGCTGCCTTCCGGTAGTTCAGGATGTTTCGCTAAGGATACATCAGCACTACATTTTCGTTTTAAAACCCAGATGTTTGCGCCTGCCGTCCAGACTAAAACAGCAAATCCAAACACCTAAAACGAAGAAGTTTGAAAACGCTGATCATTTTAAAACTCCGGGAGGAGAACTTTAAAAACAATGACGCAGACACTGACATTGGCTTCCTGATTGGGTCTCATCAGTCAATCAGTCATGCAAAGCAAAACCACAAATCTACTGACAATGTTTTACTTTTGGTATTTTTATTATAATATTTTATAAATAATACTTGCACTATGCACGTCGCCGTAGACTCCCAGCCTGCTCTCCGCCTCCATGGTAGCAAGTGTGGGTGTAGCCTAAGTTCTTTGTAGAGCTGCGTCCTAAAAGTCGACTAAACCTTTTTGACCAAGTTTTGATTGGTCAGTTAGTCTCAGTAGGCGTGGACGGTATCATGATATTATGGTATTCCAGGGTATTTAGAAATCTCCACAGTATGACTTTCAATACCATCAACAAAACAGAAACTCCTCTTTCTATTAAACTGATACGGAGGTGCTGTATTGAGCTGATTGAGCTGTATTGAGGCCCTCAACGTAGGCTGCGCCGCCGCGGGAAACTGCCCGGCATCGAGTGGTGGGATAACGCTACAGGACTAGCAAACCAGAAAAATGTGTCCGCCTCTGTTTTGAGTATTGGTTGAACCTTTATTTGTTTTACAAGGAGCTGTTGTTGAGTTTTGAGCTCAAAATTGTCCTCAAGCATGGTTCAATAAATTACAACTTTTATAAAATAAAATGACATGCATTAAAAATGTTGATAAACACCTCAGGCATGATGTTACAAGTGTCTTTTAGTAAATGGGAATCATTTATTTCATCCATATATTTCTAAAAGCGTAGGAGCTTTATACATTTTGTCACTGAAAACCATGTCCTCTGCTGTGACATCACATCTTAATTTTAATTGGGCAATTCAACCAACAACCTTATTTAGTTGAAAGACCCCATTAAAGATAATGATACTGAAGCCCCCTCTGAAGCCCATGATGTGCACATGGTAAGTTTTTGTCTCAGAATTGTTCAAATATTTTTGTGCTTTGGTGTGACAGCCCTAAATTATATTTTTTTATTAAAAACTGTATGTTAAAGTACATAATTATAGAAAATGTAGCTAATGTGTGCTGCTAACTGCTAATGACAGGTTAATGATTATGTTGATATGATATTACATGTTTAGCATGGTCATTAAGTGGCACTAAAAGGCTGAAACATCCTTTGGTGTGACAGAAATGTCCTCTGGTGCGACACCTGACTGTCACACAGAGGACAAAGATGTTACACAAGAGGACAAAGTCTCTTTAAAACGCATATTAAATTATTGATTAACATTTGTTTTACTCCTTAGTATTCTCTTTTGTCAAGTATTTGATTTTTTGTATGCAAAAGTAATAAACACATTTTCAGCTCTTTTTGTAGAGAATCTGTACTGTTATAAAGTGTCATGAAAATGAGTATGAAATGTGATACTTAATTTTTTTCTTTTTTTAGCCAGGAAGAAATGAGGGAGAGAAATGGCAGGGAGAGAGAGGACACTGAGGTATAGAGAAAATAAAAAGGGATCCACACAGAAAGGAGTAGGTCCTAAGAGAACGAGCAAAGTAAATTGAAATGAAATAAAAAACTATTAATAAATTATTTTGGTTGACATTGATATTGTTTTTTTTTAATCAAAAATGTTAACTTCTCTATTATTTTGACTGTGGGAGGGAATGGAAGAACTGTTTTGGGGGGTAAGGAAGGAAGGAGAGTCATGCTGCTCATTTTTTTTTATACACCTTTTGTTTTTACATGTTTTATCTCAAACAGCAGACTCAAGAAGAAAACTCACCAGCTGTAGCCAGATGTTGGTGGTCAGCACCTGGTTCTTCTCATCCTTAAAACAGAAAAACAGAAACATCAGTGTCTGCTTGAAGTTCAACTCTGAGACACTGCAGTCATGGTTAAAAGTCTGTCCACTCTCCACTGTTTCTTTCATCCCTTTTAATTAATCTTAAACATGGCAGCGTGCCAGCAGAGGGGAGGATGAATATGAATAACGTCAGTTTGATGAATGTTCGGCCTGTTAATACATTTTCAGGTGGCCGAGCACACCGGGAGAATTAAATAATGGGGGTTTGTAAGCAAGTGGGCGCTCTGGAGGAGGGAGATTCAGCCAAGGTAGGGACATTAAAGGTAAACGTTTTAATGGAAAACTGACCTTCAGTTACTTCAACACTGAATATATCTCCTAACAAGTGCTGTCTCTTCTTCCTCTGAGCCATGGAGCTCCATCGTTGTCCAGAAACTATTAAAAGGCATCAGTGAGCCTCACTGCTGCACTGGGTGACATGTTCCTTCGTCACCATGAACACACACTGTAGTTTATCCTGACTCAGCCCCACACACACTGTCCTGCTGCCCCAAATACTCAATACAGCATTGAGTATCCTGTTTGATTTAAACTACTGTGAGCAGCTGTTTGAAGATGAAGTCAGAGGAAATATTGGACCATGAACATCTGCAGTCTCTCCAATCTCTGCCTCTGAGGCTTGTAACTCCACATGAGTTGTCATAGAAGGTTTTACCACGACACTGACATTCTGCTTACTGTAGATGTGTATAATTAATTGAAATAATTTCACTATGGGCGATATCCTTTCAACAAATTATACAACTTCTGAAGCCTACTGGCTGCACCAGTGATTATTTGGGTGTGTCCTGTTAAAGGAGTTTTCATGCAGTCATGAATTTGTATTTCATATCTGTTATTAATTAATCACATTAGTTGGATGTGTAGGGCTCCACGGTCAAGTTAGCAAGAATAAATATGCAACGTCCAGTTACTACTTGGTGACGTTTCTGTTAAAATAATTACTTGGGACTTAAATGGTGGAAGTTAACTTGCGCTACTCACATAAGTTAAATAACATTACTAAAAATAATAAATGTCGACTTTTTGTCTCTTGGGTGAAAGTCTGGTTTCTGAACCACCGCCATACTCTGACTTTTCTGTTTTTTTTGTTTCTGTAATTTTAGCGTTGACCAATGGCACGAAAGGGCTTCTTCCAGTGTACTGAGCTATGACGCTAAAGGGTGCCATGTGCGTTGGTACCAGACGCCGAAAGACGTAACAAAGCATCCATAAGTGATGCCCTGAGAATGAGAACGGGCTGCCATATTGTTTTGTCTTTTTTTGTAAGTGTGAGAAAGTAGGATAACAATGGGTCTGGATTTCACAATGATATAATGCAGAGACGCACTTAAAATATCTGATCAGAATGTTTTTAGCTTGGGGCAAGACCAAAAGAGGTGTCCCTCTGTTAACAGGGATTGATTTTGACATTAAAGGGTCTCTTTTCTCTTGGTCAGTGTCCAAATCAAAATAAAGAAATCTACTTATATTAGATGTAAAATAATAAAAGATCAAATAATTCAACTATACTAAGTTGTATTAAACCAGACTGATTCTTTAAGTATGTACTGTGACTATGATGGCATGAAAAAGAACAATTTCTTGTTTCTCTGAGACTTTATGGCAACAAGGAAGAATAAAAACTGAGATCCTGACAGAGCTGAGAAGAGGACAAACACAGTATTTCATTTTGTATAAACTGTTGTTCCTTTGTGTCCTTCTCATACTGGATTGATGATGTTTGTTTTTGTAGGAGCAGCACTGTCATTGGGCCATGATGTTGCTTAGTTACCTGGTGGAAACCAGCGCTGATATAAGATTCCCTCACGCTGTACAGAAAGGATGCATAAATTATTTTCCAGCTGAGGTATTGACAGCAGGCAGGAATGTTTTATCAACGTCACAAAGGCAGCAGGAGCCTGAAGGTGTTTTTAAAGCTTATTGTCCTCCACAGCTGCAGCGGCATCAGCGGAGGGAGGAAACCAGACCTCAACCTCACCTGGGAGACACACGCCAGACCGGCCGGCCGGAAAGGAAACTTACTCGTCTGGATATAAAACTCAGAAGCAACGAGGCAAATCAGCAGCAGCTGTGGAAGAGTGCTGAGCAGCCGAGATGATCCAAGCTGATAGCTGCCACGGCTCACAGCTCAAAGGCCCCTGACAGGCCCCTGTTAGCAGAGGGGCTCCTGACTGACACTGAGCGGGATGATCTGGGTCACAATAAAAAGAGACGCCACTTTTTATGAGCTGCTAGCTAATGTGCCATGTCCTAACGCGCAGCTGCTGCTTCATAGCAAATGCCAAACACCTTGCAGGTTCTGTTAATAAAACCCTGTGACTTTATCTTCCCTGTTGACCTCCTCCTCTATCAGCAGGTAGGTGGACATAAAAACTACATGACAAGTTTGCACCTGTCTTTCTCTTGTTTAAAGTAGCCCTCCACTGGAAGTCTATGTTTTCAGTTTCAAATGATTGCATGGGCTTGAGATGTGCTTGTTCCTCCTGAAACTTGTTCCTTCATGGAGAACAGTTGAAGCAGATACAATAAAATCCAATAGAGACAGTATGAAACCTCCCATGGTGTACTTTGCAGCCAAAGGATTTTCGTTTTGAAACAAAAAAAACAAAAACGAAAAACGGCTCGTTTCCCAATTACCATTAGTACCGTTTTTTGTTTTTTTCCCCGTGACCCGGAAGCTATGGTAAGCAGCCAAGTAAGCGGTTGTGGGCCTATGGCACAAACCCCGAAGTCAGGAGTTTGAAGTTGCATATCTAATGTTACGAAGATGGACTACAAAAAGCGCTTCTTTGACCTGTGCAGTCTTACAGTGTTGTTCTAATTCAGGCCATCGCAAGGTGGAAACATAGCCTATTACTCAATTACAAGCGGGAAGGGGCGTGCGGAGGGTGCTGCAGCGCCCCTTATTGACAGGGAGGAACACGACACATGACATGTAGGCTACAGCATAATAATAATCTTTATTTGTAGAGCACTTTTCAAAAACAAGTTACAAAGTGCTTTAACAAGTGTAAAGACAATAATACCCAAGAGACAATAATACAAAAAACAATACAAGATAAAAGCATGAAAACATTGAAAAGACTAAAATACAGATAAATATAAAATTAGTAAAATACAATTAAATAAAAGGGATAAAATAAAGTCAAATAAGATCGGGAAAGGCTCTCCTATAAAAGTATGTTTTAAGAAGGGACTTAAAAGAGTTCACTGACTCAGCCGACCTGATTTCCTCGGGCAGGCTGTTCCAGAGCCTCGGGGCCCTGACAGCAAACGCTCTGTCCCCTTTAGTTTTCAGTCGAGACTCTGGAACAGACAACAGACCTCTGCCCGAGGATCTCAAGGTACGTGCTGGTGCGTATGGGACTAAAAGGTCAGAAATATAACGAGGCGAGAGGCCATGAAGAGCTTTAAAAGTGATCAATAGAATTTTAAAGTCAATTCTAAAACATACTGGGAGCCAGTGTAATGAAGCTAAAATAGGAGTAATGTGGTCATATTTCTTTGTTCTGGTTAAAAGCCTGGCAGCTGAGTTCTGGACAGTCTGGAGTCCATCAATAGATTTTTGGGTTAAGCAGGTGAAAAGGCTGTTGCAATAATCCAGGCGTGATGAGATGAAGGCATGTAAAATGGTCTCGGTGTTCTTAAAAGTTAACATACATCGAATATTTCTAAGTTGATAAAAACACGATTGAACAAGCTTTGTGGTGTGCTGCTCGAAATTTAAATTACTATCAAACCAAACACCAAGGTTCTTTGCCACAGGCTTAATGTGATTTACTAGGGAACCAGCAGATGGCAGTATTTGATTTGCCATCTGCTGAGACCCGATGACCAGGATTTCTGTTTTGTCTGAGTTCAGCTGGAGGAAATTATTTGACATCCATTTTTTAACTTCACAAAGGCAGTTGTTAAGTGAACTCAGCATTCCAGGGTCTGTGGATCTGACGGGCAAGTATATTTGTGTGTCATCAGCATAAATATGAAAAGAAATGCCATGTTTATGGATAATATGTCCAAGGGGAAGCAGATACAAGGAAAACAAAATGGGTCCTAAGACAGACCCCTGAGGCACACCATATTTAACTGGACAGAATGAGGAGACATAGTTGTTTACAGACACGCAAAACTTCCTATTTGACAGGTAGGATGAAAACCATTCTAGGGCAGTACCAGAGATCCCCACCCAGTCTGTCTAACATGATGTTGTGATCAGTGGTGTCAAAAGCAGCGCTAAGGTCCAGGAGTACCAGGACTGAGCACATGCCTTCATCAGCAGACATTAAAAGGTCATTGGTGACTTTAAGCAGGGCAGTCTCAGTGCTGTGGTACTTCCTAAAACCAGACTGAAACTTTTCAATGGGCACTGTTGTTACTAAACGACAACATAAAATACAACAGGTAAGTCCTGAATGCTCTGGTCGATATTGCAGCCTACTAATTTGACGTCAGCAGCTGTTCGCGCTGTTTTGTCGCGATTATAGGAGCTACACTGGTGTGATGCGGATTGGCTCTGACAATATCTGAATAATCATGTACGCATAAATCATCCACCCGCACTCAACCCAACTAATGATTTTCTCAGATTATCCCACCACGTTCAACCACGTTTGGAAGCAAAAGTATTTATGACTGTTCAAAACTGCCAAACTTCACGTTTACAGATGGACGAGTTCAGTTCACCGTACACCAAAAACACAGTAGTTGTTTGTTGTTTACAGACTGACGATGCGATGACAATGTGTCCCTGACCACCTCCGGAGGTGGTTTGTATCATAGGCATACTTACACCTGTACTTTCAGGTCAAGCCTTAGCCGATTGCAATCTGATCACCCAAAACACATTTTAATTCCAGGTGTAAAATGGGTCAGTTAGCACAGAGATTATGCTGCATTGAGAAGTTTCTATTAATGTTTTAAATCCAAAACAAATGTAGTTGATGTCCTTCATGAAAACTACT